AACTTGGCCAACAGGCTTGATCTTTGTGCGGCACTTGGCAGACAGTTCCACCCCTTCAGTAACTGATGTAAAACTGCCCCTCATCAGCATGCATCTGGACCAAATTAAGACTAGGGACACCCAGAACTGTTTTTCACAGACTAGGCCTTGTTCAGCAACTGCCTTGACTGAGTCTCAGCATCTGCAACTGCCCACATCCTCCTGGTCGCATGCATTAAGCAGTCATATGTCAGTCATGTGCCCATATTCAGTAACCAGCCTTGCTTCATGAACCAATGTGTATGCTGGGTTCAGCCCATGCCATGCAATCCAAAGCTATGCACCCACATTGCCTCAATTGAGCCCACCACGTGCTGCCATGCTCAGCCGGGTGGTCTCATGCTGCCTTGGTCCGCACCAATCTGTCGAACCACTTAGCCACGCCACCTTGATTCCAACTCATGGCGTGCCTTAGTGCAAGGTGCCACCAAGACCAACCATTTGCACCCAAGTCAGTTAGGGTGTGACACTACGCCTTATTAGTAAACGTGAAAGAGCCATTACCCTAACTATATGGTTCTTAAAACTCTGAAATCCAAATTGGCTAAAAGTTGGCCGATATTGTCAGCCTGGTACGAGTTGAGCTTCTTACAACTGTCCATGTAATTTCATTCTCGCGCCTTCTTCCTCTCCGTTGGAGCTCCCAAACACCACAAAGTCTCTCTCTCTCGCGTCACATAATCAAAAAGAACGCATTTTGTTCTAATCCAGCACTTATAATCTAAAACAAAACAAAGTGGGCCTTGCTTAGATTTTTGTTTCCCAAGTTTCTAAACCTTTTTTGTCTTGATTATCATAAGAAAAAAGGGCTTTTCCTATCTTTCTCTATTCTAATTCAAAAAGCTGGTTTTTGATCCAAAGGGTAGGTGGAAATGGTGGGTAACTCTTTTCTGGTGTTATTATTAGCTTGAAAGGAAGCATACCATGGCTTGTACTTTGAAGGTCAATTTATCTCCCTAGATCAAATGAGACCCTTCTCAAGCCCAAAACAAAAGGGTTTCAAACACTTTGTCCTCCAATTAATTTTCTATAATTTTATGGGTGCAATTTTATGAGCCCAGATCAAAAGATTTTATGGGTGAACCTTAACATGTCTCAGATCAGAGTTTAAGCAAATGGAATGTCAAGGATTCAACATATTCCTCTGCTACATATGCACATTTTTCCATCTCTTCTCTTTGCCTTTTTGAGACAATTCTCTCTATCTCTCTCTCTTTTCTCTCTCCATGATGAGTGCATCTTAGGTTCGGAACTAATTCTCTACTTATGATTTTAGGCACAGACATCCATTTGTGTTAGCAGGGCTATAAGATGGTGGGAAAGGACTCGCATACCCAACATGACAGAGATTCATTCAGCACAAGAACTCATTGATTCATTGTTGAATGCGGGGGACAAATTGGTCATAGTTGACTTCTATTCGCCTTGTTGTGGAGGCTGCAAAGCTTTGCACCCTAAGGTCCTTTACCAATATGTCTGTAAACTCATGTCAAATAGAGAGACCCATCACAGTTTTGACATATATTAATTGGTGAAGACTTTAAATTTGTATCCTTTTGGTATTTTTTGGATAATCTCTCTAATTATTTCTCAGTTATCAGATCTAGCAGTTGGCTAAATCACAGCCAAATGTAATTTTTCACAAGGTCAATTACGAGGAACTCAATAGAGGTGCAAAGCATGATAAGTTCTTATCCAAAACATCTCAATGTCCAATCGAGTCTATGGGTTCAGTGTGCCCCTTTTAAGAGTTACGACTTTATATAGGCCATTATATACTATGCACGTGCATTGTTGGGGAAAGATTTGAGGTTTACCTAGGATCCAACAGGTGATGGAGGTTTTTTATTTTTTTATTTTTCCATGTTTGGTCACTCTTGAAATAGTGATCTCAGATAACCAAGTGCTACAAGTAGCCTACTCTTGATTTTTCAGAAAAATATTGGAATTATAGTATATGTTACTTGGAACAAAAGTGAAATTAAATGTTAGCAAGAGAATCTGATATGGAACCCGCCGGAATAACAGAATCATTAGTTAAGCAATGAGAAATTAAAGGTTTATAGGAAGGCATTAAAATGACTTTTATACAGGATACACTTGATTGCATAGAAACATCACTCCAATTTTTTCAACACATTCAAGTTAGAGTTAAGATTTTGTCTTTTAGAAACTGCATTCTTATTATTGATGCGAGAACAAGTGAGCAAAGCTTAGAGTAAGGCATTGTCCGCATTTTGCCAGTGGACTTTCCCTGATAAGAAATATATATCTTTAAAATGATGATATCCTTGAAAATTTTGTAAACATAACTCATATTTTGATTGAAAATTGTCTACGTGCAACCCAAGTGTGCATCAACTAGTTATTATATAAAGGAAGGGAAATAAGGAGTTGAAAAGCTAACCCTACAATATCAAGTTCGCTCAGGAGAAATTCATTCCTCCGAGAGCCAACCTTATAAACTCTGCGAGATGGATAGAGTGGGACTCATTCGTTCCTGCTATAACTCCAACCATGAGAAATAGGTCCCTTATTTTTCACAGGAATAGTTCTAGAGCTTGTTTCCTCTCGATCTACTCCAACATGAGATTTTGGATTCCATTTTCTCTAATGGGGGAAGGCAATGTTATCTCTTTATTCTCTTGAGGGGCAAGAGAATGCCTATGCACTTGCAAGGAACATGAATCTCATTACCCTCCCATGTGGTTATAGGGTTGATGCCTTTGAAAGTGGTATCTTAAAGATGAAGATGAATCATCTAGTTTTTGGAACTCGTTAATTGCATCAAACAATTTTACAATGAAAAACCCCTTGTTCGTTGCAATTTTAAGGATGGACATTATTATTGGGATAAAAACTTGGTCGAGTTGAGTTGAGTATGGAAACGAAAACCTTCAAGAATTGCGGCAGTTATAGTGGCAACGAATGAATCATACTCAGATCCTAGACCAGCTAGGACTAAGTAATGATGTCGTCATAGAGCACAGCATGACCAGTTATGGCAAGTTCAACAGTCAATTTTTTTATGTGCATGATGTACTCAGTGACAGTAAGTTGCCTTTTTTTGCATTGGCTAGCGGAGTGCATATTTGAACCACTTGTGCTTGGGATTGAGAGGAGAAGGAATTGGCAAGAGAGAGCCACACCTCATGAGAGGACGTGCAGTGTATTACTTGTGCAAACACACTTTCAGACAGTGAAGACATAATAGTGCTCAGAATGAGCTGATCCACTAGAGCCACTGAGAATGAGCAGGATTTGGAATGGAGGTGATTTCACCATTGTCTTGAGCAGCGTCAAGATGAGTGGTAGGCTTGCGGATAGAGCCATCAACGTAACCGGAAACTTCCTGGCCATGGAAGTAAGGCACCAGTTGGGCTTTCCAGATGAGATAGTTGTCTCAGGTAAGCTTTACTGTGACCACTGTGCAATGCTAGCAAGAGTAGGGAGAGAGGGAGAAGTGTTATCAGAGGTTGAGGAAGTTGGAGAGGACATTTCGGCGTTGGTCGTTTATAGGTCTGATACCATATAAAAAAACCTACAGAGAATGCTTTTAGAACTTGGTTTTCATTATTTCTAAAGCTTTACAGAACCCTCAAATTTATAGAGGGAGAATGCAACAAATTTACAAATCATATGGATATAAATTTCCAAATTCAAAAATCTGTTTTTGATTCAAAATGTACAGCTAGTAGCGGATAAGTCTCAGGATCATATCCTCTCAACTTCTTCCTCATTTTGTGGTGAAGACTTGGTCTCTTGAACAAGTCTTTCCGCGAAGAACAAACATTGTACCGAGGCAGAAAAGTCATAAGTCTAATTGCATATGGCACGACGCGTATGAGGTTAGAGCAGCTGTCTATTTCCTTATATTTGAAGATTTAGAGTGCTAATCCTCGTCCATCACTGCTGAAAGCAGGGTTTCACATTTATCATTACCTCTCCATATAGGGGAGCATTGAGTGGTAAGAGTGAATTATATTGTTGTGCATAAGAACGTTCACATATATTCCTTTCAGTCGCAAATAATACAAGGATTCAACACCCCAATGAAATGGCGCGGGGTAGCGGATTGGCTTTCCTATTAGGCCAAGTGAAATTGAGACGCGTGAACTATGGGAAGCCAGAATTTTGAAGGAAGCTATTCTTTTGAGAAAGGAAGTGGTTTGAATGTTCACATATTAACATGGGTAATTAGAACTCAAGACCTACGATTGGCAGTGCATACAATAATCGCATCGGAAAACACAAAATGCTAAAAACATTCTAAAAACCCTACTGAACATGAAATTGAGTGTAACAAGCAAACAATGAAACAACAACAAAAAGAAACAAGCAAATGGGAATTGGACTGAAGTTCTGAAGGGGAACAAACCAATTTGCGGCGCTTCTCCTTAGGGGAATTGAACTTGCGAACAGTCTTGACGAATGCAATGACAAAGGAAATACCGACATAAGCCAAGGGGATAACGAGAATCCAGGGCAACGAGCTTTGGCCGACTCTGGGACCAGGAATGGCCTGTGTAACTGAGCCCGAGAACTCCACCAAGTCCATCGCCTTCTCCTGTATCCATGGAAGCTCCTCTTCTACTTCCTCCTCCTCCTCCACTTCTTTTTCTTCTCGTTTCTTCTCTGAATCATTCTTCTTATTAGCCGGGTTTGTATTTGAATTCTTCGTCGATGACGATGCCACGGCGGTCAAACCAATGCGAGCTGAGGACAAGTAGGAGGAAGAAGTGGTGGGGAAGAAGGGCAAAGAGGGTACATGGGTGTATTTGAAACTGTTGAAAGAAGACTGATAACTGGTACTAAAATTGAAAGTAGCAGTGATTTTTCTTCTTGATCTTGAAGGAGACAGCCGTGGAAGGCATTGGGGAGAGAAAACAGCACAGTAACAAGATGAAGCATAAGCAGTAGCTGAAGCCATGATTGTTTTGATTTGGAGGGAGAAGGAAGAAGAGAGAGATAGAGATAGAGATAGAAGGAAGGGTGAAATGTGTCTGTCTGTGTCTTATTTTCTTGGATTTTTCGGGGTAGGGGTAGGGGAAGGGTAGAGAGAGAGAGAGGGAGAGACGGTGGGTGAGGGGTGTATGTGTTGTCGCCCCGTGAAATTACTTCTGCAATCGTTCGTTCGGTGAAATGGGAATGGCGGTGTCCGCGGCGGCACCCCTCACGAGGGAATCGGACACTACCACATTCTCATGCTTTTCAAATAATGAAATCCATTAATTTTGGATTTTTTTGTTCTGATTAAAAAAATTGTGGGGGAAAAAAGAGAATATCATGAATTCTCGTTAGTGGGATCAAGGACCTTAACTACACCTATTATTTTTCTCGCAAATGAATTTAATTAAGTTAGTATAATAATCAATTATTAATTTACCGTCTAAATTTTAAAACTTAAACCTTCAAGTCTTAATGGGACGAGGGTGGGCACTTGCCTCTCAATTTTGGACTATCTTAAATGAGGACTCATAAAATTATTTATATCTTTAAAATAAATGTTAATTTTAGATTGTGTCAATCAGATGTAACTATTTTGATATATTTGTATATTGATACAATATTTTTCTATATCTAACATAATGTTCGTTACCTTTTAAGAACAATTTTTAGTTTTTATTTACTATTTTTTGAGTAATAATAGTCTATAACCTAATAAAATATGACTGTATACAACAGACAAAAAGTTGTAACCCAAAAATATTTCAACCTATTTCAAACAAGGAATTTCTCTATAAGATCGATAATGATCTCAACTAAATTTTGTAATTAAATAAAGAATAATTTTACTACGGACTTGTGATTGTGTGTATTGATAAAAAATTAGTGAAAAAATAATTTACATTTAATTCATATACAAAATTTTAGAGATTTTAAAAAAATATATGTTTTATTGAAATATATAATTTGGTTAAAATGTACTATAAACTTATTTTGTATCTTTTTGTTAGGATTTTGTTTCGATTAAATAAAAATTAAATTTATTATTTCACAATAATTTTGTCTTAATTCTTACTTTTTTGTCATTCTTAAACTCAATTTTCTTATATCAATTTTGGCTAAATATTTTTTGTATCAATTATATTTTGCCCCCTCCCCATGGATATTCTTTGCTTCGCCCACGATTCTCACCTTCCGTAAAATGTTCGGTTTGAGTCATAACTGCTGACATAAGATTGTCGAGTTCGTCGTCACAACATTACTGAGGACAAAGTGGACACTCAGCCCTTTCGATAGTATTTGATTCAGATGAACTACTACCACAAACGAATTCGAATTCATGACTAGTGAAGGAGGGCATGACTTTCATCCTCTGTTGAAAAACTAAGTAAAGTAGGACCGCGGTGGTTACTTTTTGTTCTTCACGATGAATGAAAACTAGTCTATTTTTATAACGGATAATGGTGTTACTAAGGGATATAATCTGAGTATATTTTCTCCTATTGCATTTATGTCATGTTACTTTAATTTTTTGTCGCAAGCTACTCAATTGTAATAAGACTTGTTTAATTAATTACGGTAAATATCTTGACATTGTATGACTTGTTTAATTAAGAGCGAATGTCAAATAAGCCCTACTTTTTATAACAAAAAAACTCTTGAAGTTGTGTCAAATTTCTATTAGGACAATCTGGTTCTAATTTTTAATAGTTGTTCCAAATTAGTTTTAGACTCTATTAATCATATCTTTATTTCGATTTTACCTTTTTTTCTCAATTACACTTTTATTCATAATCTCTTCATTTATTAACAATTACACTTTTATTTATAATTTCTTTATAATTTATAATTCATCTAAAAATCAAAAAGTAAATATGATGATTGACTATGGGGAAAGATGCCCATTAGATTTTGCCTCATGATTGTATACATGGAATGCTAGACACAACCTAGAGTGCGGTGAATAAGTTAATTCAATTTAAGGTTGAACAAACACTAATTTTTAACATAGTCTATCACAATTATCAATTAATAAATTAATTGATCAATTAAGATTATGAACTCCTTTTCTCAACCCAAAAACCATGTCATGTGAATTGATATACACAAATAGCAATTGATAATTTTACACTCAAATTCGCCAAGACACTGGTTTCACTAGCGCCAATTGATTACAAAACCATTTTTAATGAATCAAAAAAAAAAAAACAATCATTTATTCAAACATATAGTGCATGCGTTTGCAATTGCAAGTGTGTATACAACAATTAAAACAATGAGAGATACAAGCAATTTGTTTACATGAAAACTCAATTGAGAAAAATTACAGAATTACTCGAGGTTCACCTAGCTTAATGCACTAATTTAAGGTTAATTTACAAGTATTCGAGACTTATACCTTAACCAAGATCATGGTTAGATACCCCTTTCCTTCAGTAACATCTCTTATGGATTCTCCCACCACATGTATGAATAGCTTCACTTGAACGCCTCCACAACAATAGATTGTTTAGACTCTTCGAGCGACCTTCTCTGCCAAGATCCTTAGGATGCACACTACTTCAATGGGTTTTGTAATTCCAAGTAAGAACTTATTGCTTCAAGATATGAATTTGAATTGAAGATTCAAGATGGATGAACTTTGGTCTTAGAGATCTAGGGTTTATCTACGATCTCTTAAGGTTTAGGAGGCAGGAAATAAACAAAGAAAAGAGATACCCTAGCTCTAGAAGGTTTTCCCTATTTATAGGATGGAAATTAGGTTAGTCTTGGTGACAAAGTAAACCAAAATTCACCAATGATCACTCAAGTAATGGGAGAATGGTCAGAGGGTGGTTTTCATTGGAATGAAAAATGGTCCTAACTAGATCTGGCAAGCAAAGCCAGCTCAACAGCCTGTAGATTGCTCGAGCGACCTAGGAGCGGGTAGAGGGCAGTGTCCATTGCCTAATTCGACAACCTTCTCTGATTTTATTCTTAAGTATTTAGAGATCGCTCTAACCAAAGGCAAGCACGCNCAACAACAAAAAGAAACAAGCAAATGGGAATTGGACTGAAGTTCTGAAGGGGAACAAACCAATTTGCGGCGCTTCTCCTTAGGGGAATTGAACTTGCGAACAGTCTTGACGAATGCAATGACAAAGGAAATACCGACATAAGCCAAGGGGATAACGAGAATCCAGGGCAACGAGCTTTGGCCGACTCTGGGACCAGGAATGGCCTGTGTAACTGAGCCCGAGAACTCCACCAAGTCCATCGCCTTCTCCTGTATCCATGGAAGCTCCTCTTCTACTTCCTCCTCCTCCTCCACTTCTTTTTCTTCTCGTTTCTTCTCTGAATCATTCTTCTTATTAGCCGGGTTTGTATTTGAATTCTTCGTCGATGACGATGCCACGGCGGTCAAACCAATGCGAGCTGAGGACAAGTAGGAGGAAGAAGTGGTGGGGAAGAAGGGCAAAGAGGGTACATGGGTGTATTTGAAACTGTTGAAAGAAGACTGATAACTGGTACTAAAATTGAAAGTAGCAGTGATTTTTCTTCTTGATCTTGAAGGAGACAGCCGTGGAAGGCATTGGGGAGAGAAAACAGCACAGTAACAAGATGAAGCATAAGCAGTAGCTGAAGCCATGATTGTTTTGATTTGGAGGGAGAAGGAAGAAGAGAGAGATAGAGATAGAGATAGAAGGAAGGGTGAAATGTGTCTGTCTGTGTCTTATTTTCTTGGATTTTTCGGGGTAGGGGTAGGGGAAGGGTAGAGAGAGAGAGAGGGAGAGACGGTGGGTGAGGGGTGTATGCGTTGTCGCCCCGTGAAATTACTTCTGCAATCGTTCGTTCGGTGAAATGGGAATGGCGGTGTCCGCGGCGGCGCCCCTCACGAGGGAATCGGACACTACCACATTCTCATGCTTTTCAAATAATGAAATCCATTAATTTTGGATTTTTTTGTTCTGATTAAAAAAATTGTGGGGACAAAAGAGAGTATCATGAATCCTCGTTAGTGGGATCAAGGACCTTAACTACACGTATTATTTTTCTCGCAAATAAATTTAATTAAGTTAGTATAATAATCAATTATCAATCTACCGTCTAAATTTTAAAACTTAAACCTTCAAGTCTTAATGGATCGAGGGTGGGCACTTGCCCCTCAATTTTGGACTATCTTAAATGAGGACTCATAAAATTATTTATATCTTTAAAATAAATGTTAATTTTAGATTGTGTCAATCAGATATAACTATTTTGATATATTTGTATATTGATACAATATTTTTCTATATCTAACATAATGTTTGTTACCTTTTAAGAACAATTTTTAGTTTTTATTTACTATTTTTTGAGTAATAATAGTCTATAACTTAATAAAATATGACTGTATACAACAGACAAAAAGTTGTAACCCAAAAATATTTCAACTTATTTCAAACAAGGAATTTCTCTATAAGATCGATAATGATCTCAACTAAATTTTACAATTAAATAAAGAATAATTTTACTACGGACTTGTGATTGTGTGCATTGATAAAAAATTAGTGAAAAAATAATTTACATTTAATTCATATACAAAATTTTAGAGATTTTAAAAAAATATATGTTTTATTGAAATATATAATTTGGTTAAAATGTACTATAAACTTATTTTGTGTCTTTTTGTTAGGATTTTGTTTCGATTAAATAAAAATTAAATTTATTATTTCACAATAATTTTGTCTTAATTCTTACTTTTTTGTCATTCTTAAACTCAATTTTCTTATATCAATTTTGGCTAAATATTTTTTGTATCAATTATATTTTGCCCCCTCCCCATGGATATTCTTTGCTTCGCCCACGATTCTCACCTTTCGTAAAATGTTCGGTTTGAGTCATAACTGCTGACATAAGATTGTCGAGTTCGTCGTCACAACATTACTGAGGACAAAGTGGACACTCAGCCCTTTCGATAGTATTTGATTCAGATGAACTACTACCACAAACGAATTCGAATTCATGACTAGTGAAGGAGGGCATGACTTTCATCCTCTGTTGAAAAACTAAGTAAAGTAGGACCGCGGTGGTTACTTTTTGTTCTTCACGATGAATGAAAACTAGTCTATTTTTATAACGGATAATGGTGTTACTAAGGGATATAATCTGAGTATATTTTCTCCTATTGCATTTATGTCATGTTACTTTAATTTTTTGTCGCAAGCTACTCAATTGTAATAAGACTTGTTTAATTAATTACGGTAAATATNTATGTAATGATACCTTTTGGTTCATAGGATATCAATAGTCACTTTTTGAAATGTACAACCATTTGAAATGGTGTTTTTTAACTAAAAAATATCAAATGTGACTTTTATAAAAAATTGTGACTATTTGTAATGGTATCTTTTAACTGAAAAGTGTTAATGGTTGCTTTATGTAAGGATATAATCATTTGGATTTGTGTTTTTAATCAAAAGTCACCAATTTTGAATTTGTAGTCTTTTATGTCATTTTTACTTCACATATTCCTAATTTCTCCCAAAAGTCACAAGAGTTTTTCAAAAATAGCCTCCCAAAATTTTTTTTATTTGAAAATACTTTAACAATTTCTCATTCAATACTTAGTGGTTTTAAAAAAATAAATTTACTATGTTCATCTCCTCACGGAGGAGAACACATTTAAACTTGATCTCACTAATTTTGAGTTATGGGTCCGACTTTAATTAAAGTCCTACGTTGCTCAAAATATTTATTTAAAAACCATTATTTCCAACATAACTACCTGAGGAAGCCATTGTAATCATTGATAGGAAGACGCCTTTAAAAAAGGCATTAATTACAAGAAAGAGACATGATCCAACTCATCAAAGGACCCACAACTGTTTCATTAGTCTGTTGTACCCTAGAAAACTTTCAAGATTAATAATTTATCATCATTTTGCTTGCTTTGAATCTATCGACTGTGATCATCCAAGGAAGTCCTAAGACAAGACAATTAAATCCAACAGCAAGCATTCGCCTGAGATCTCTCTACGAGGGGATTGAATCCATCGATCATAGGAGAAATTCTTTGGGGAAACAAACAATTTTTGGCACGACTTTACTAACTTAGATAAAAATGGTGCGAACAAGAAAGCAAGACGAAGGAGAGATTGGAATAGAATGCAATGAAAACATGGAGGCTATGTCTAGTAGTGCTAACCATGTTGAAGGAAGTTCAAGTTTCAACCTATTGGAGTCTACAATGCAAGCAAATGGCCAAACTAGTGGCTAGAACACTGCATTGATGCAAGATTTGGTGCAAAACCTTAGACAGGTATTGCATGATCCTTACTCAACATTATGCAAGATTTGATGAATGTCATGCATGAATTAATGAGTGACTACACAAATATGTCAGGACACATGAATCAAATATTTATAACATGAGCAACATGAGAGAATTTGATTACAAAAATTAATTTTCCCTATTTAGTAATTTCAAAATACACAAATAGATAGGGAAAAGCTTCATAAACCTTTTATAGCCAAAACTCAATAGTCGGCAGCCCGTGCCATTTATGAAATTTGCATCTTCCGACCTC